AAATTTAGGATGGTTTCTGTGCAACATTTTATAAATGAGGCCCCTAGACTCAAGTCGAGGGGTGTCCGAGCTTTTATTTTGTTTATCCTTGAGATTAATCTCCAGAGAGTCTGAATTTAAATCTAAGTTCAAAACTTACCTTTTCTCTCAGGTTTACAACTTCTTTTGATTTTTAAAGTTGAATTTTCTGATCTTGATGTAAACTTTATGATTGCTTTGTAGTTTTTTTTACTCTCTTTTTTTAGATTTTTATCCTTTGTCTTTTTTGTTCAGCACAATGGTCATCTACTGTTGTTTTTATTTGTGCTATATGACTGATTTGATTTGATCATGTAGATCAAACTCGTCCTTACTCACCATACAGGCGGCCTGTACAGCCTCACTTAGACTTGCAGCGTTTGGATCACACCAGAACATGTGACATATAAAGTCTCCAGGTCCCTCTGCCATTATGAATGCAAACGTGTGCACATCCTTCCCAACTCCCATAAATGACAGGAAACGCACACGACATTCAGAAAGAACTTCCTCCGTCTGTGACAATGAGACAAGAAATATCAGTGTGGTTATCTAATAAAATTTTTATGATACAGCATTACATATAATACTCAAGTACCGCATAATGTCAACAAACAGAAACCTGACCTCAGAATTCAGAATAGTGAGTGTAGCGGACGCCACGTTCACAGTCACAGGTGTCCAATCCTCCTTGTCTTTGCCGTTAAGAGCATTCTCCAATGCTACATTAATCACATCCACGCCTTCAAGAGACAGATACAGACACGACTCAACTTCAATTTCAGGCAGCTAACTTTGATTTAAACATGAAATGCATACATGCTATTTTAAGTGCTTACAGTGTATGACATAGCTACACAAAAATGGGGAAAATGCAGGTAAAACTTGTACTTTGTGTATAATAGTATAATGCAGTGCCGTATAATAGCAGTTAATGAGGACTCCCTACCAGCTGGCTTTGTCACTGGCACACGACCCAAGTACCGCACCTGGAAGCGCTGGACCAGCTCGTTCTTGGGAGCTGGGAACTCTGAAGGAATAAAGATCTGATTCAGTCTTAATGGTATCATTTCATTATTATCCATTACAGTACTCACTTGAGAAGGAGGGAGAAATATCTGATGCACACGTGTAGTCAAACCCAACAGTCAACAGTTACATACTGTACTGCAGAC